ATTATTATTATTATTATTATTATTATTATTATTATTATTATTATTATTATTATTATTATTACTATTACTATTATTATTATTATTATTAATGTGAATTTCAGACCCCCAAAAAAGGATAGAGCAGAAGTCAAACAATCATTTAAAATTTTGATTTTCAATTTGACGCTGAAAACATTAGGTGATGATATTCTAAGCGTGGAATTATATTGATGATATGAACAACGGATTAATTGAATTAACGAGTGAACTAATTATAAAAATTTATATGAGTTTTCACCAGAAATCTACTCTCTGGCTTACGTTCGAGAAGAAAGTGGATTATAATTATGATCGAACTTTTATTCCGTGAGCATAGCAATTAGAACATGAGCAAGTCATTTATTGCAATATGAAAAATTGACAAAATTTAAGGATGTTCGACACCCTTTTAGCCAAAATTGACGTTGTTTTCATTTTTCTGGCAAATTATCGATGGGAGTGACGTGAATAAGTATAACGATTTTGTGGTTTATCATTCTTTAATGGCTCACGAAGTTGCGTACTGGTGCGATAATTTTCATCCGTTTCTTCTACAGTTTTGTGATTCCTTTTAAAAGTTCAGAGAAAACGCAGGAAAATGTTCACACCACCTTAAAATTTCGTCAGTCATTAAATAATGACAAAACGCAAAAACGTTATATTTTTTCACGTCAATTCCATCATAAGTTTGCCAGAAAATTAAAAAAACGTGAATTTTGGCAGAAGGGGTGTAGAACATCCGTAAAGCTAATAGATTAAGACATATTATTTCCATCAGTTGCGTTGCTTTTTGCAATTAAAATAATTATGAACAATGAAGTGAAAAAAGGAATATTGGACCTGACAGGAAAAAGGGCATAATGGAAGGGGCATCAACACCCCGGCGGTTGCGGCCGGCGTAGCGCTAGTTTTCATAAAAAGTAAAATATCTCCAAAACTACTAGTCCGATTAAGCCCAACTGAAATACGAACCGTTGCTATCATAAGAGGAAGGTTCTCTCCCAATTTCAAGTGGATATCTCAATTTTTACGAAAGCTAGAGAGCGTACAATGATTTAATCGAAAGAACAGAAAAGTGACAATATCACGAAAACTTTGCAGTGTAATGATATTATTTTGATAATTTTAAATTTATCCATTCTTTGAAAATCCGGTGAATTTAAGAAAATATAGCTGACGAGAAAATGAATAATAGGATATGGATAAATTGAAAAATAAGCAAGATTATAAAAGTTAAGATAAATGATTTCAAGAGAAAATTAATATCATTAATACCGAAGTCCCGGATTTTATCAATCATGTATAACAGTGTAAAGACAATTGTAATTTGGAGAATGTTCACTAATATTGGAAACATAACCGAGATCACGAACTTTATAGATATATTTTGAAAATAATATTGAAGCTGAATTCAATGTTTTTGAGGATAACAAATAGAATATAAAAATATCCGATGAAATTTAGAAATTTAATTAAATAAACACCAGCTATCGGAATCATTATCATTTACTTTAATTCGTCAATAGACATATTTCATAATACAAGAAAAAGCAAGCGCGATAAATAATTCAATTTCATGTCTTTGTCAATAATGGCTATCAATTTGTTCAATCGTAAATTTTCGTTTGCAATACAAAGTTACTTTATCGATATTTAAAGTTATATAAAACGAGGTAGAGACCCGAGTCAAATATCTGGACCTTATTCCCCCCTATTACCTCCTCGAGTTGAATATCTGGACCTTATTCTCCCCTATTATCTCCACGAGTCTTATATCTGGGCCTTATTCCCCCCTATTACCTGCTTGAGATATTTTTTCCTCCTTTCTTCATCCTATACATCCTGAATAACTCCTTATATGATCCTGCCTCATCCTAAAGGCGTAAAAACCCTTCTCAACGAACCATTCTCAACTTCTGTCGAATGAAAAGAAATCATAAATCCCCTGAATTAACCCTGATAGCCAGGATGATTGAGTAGCTCACTATTTTGTTCATTTCTGTTTGCTAAAGGCCCCTCATTTACTTTTACTTTCACGTATTTCTTATATACGTTCATACAAACAATGTATATTAACAATTCTCATGTTAATAATTAAAAATAGAAAAAAAATAACTTGAAAGGGTTTGTAGGTTCTTTCCAGGAGGGATGGAGTGGGAAACATTATAGGGGGTGCAGGCAATAAATAGGTTTAACACACCTCCTGTTTTCCTCCTGAACCCTCGGAATTTGGAAATAACTCGCACGTTCAGGCGGAAACCAGGGGGTCTTTCTGAATGTAAATACACCCTAACTTCATCCTGGTCCTCCTACTCATGATAGGTGTTCAAGGAGGGATTCAGGTCCTAATATTCGACTCGGGGAGATATAAATAAATTCATTAAATACTCAACTTAATGTAAATGAATGAACTGCAGTTCACACACACATTCTTGAATTAATATAAATAGAAGAGATACAAATTACATAAAAAAATATATCATGATGTTACGCGAGCTCGCTTATTTACTAGTTAGACATTACGGAACGAGAGGCTATTTGTTTCGGCGAGAAAGTCACAAAAAACGAACCGATGGAGTACTAGGATGCGGGTTAAGGAGCGTTTTGGCGAAAAGAATGTGACACAAGACACGCCAGTTTTGTCACAATGAAACTAGTTTATTTCGAGTCATCACAGTTACTTGCGTAAAAAATATTCACATAAAAATAACCGCGAGCAAACACTCGATGTATTTATCACGGTAGAAGATTACACGGGGTAGAGATGCACACGATAATTAGAGGTAAAACGTAGAGGAATTTTAGAGGACCACGCTACTCGATAGAACGTCCGAACAGAGAGAGAGTAACAATAATCATAATTCAGAGAGAAGTAGGTCAGCGCTACAGGTGCGTAGTTGGGGCACCTGTATTGGAGCGCGGCCGGTCAGGCAGAGCTAGTCAAGGAGGTGCTGCCACCCCTTGGTCAGATGCGGTATGAGGCTGTTGCCTCAACA